TAAAGAACTCAAAATAAAAAATCAGATCCTCCAAATTTAAATACCCAATCCAAAAATGGACATCTTAGATGAATACATACTTCTCAAATGAAGGAGTACAAACTGCAAATATATGAAAAAAAATTCTCAACACCACTGGTTATTTGAGAGGTACAACTTTAAAACAACACTGAGATTCTTATCCTAGAAAGAATGGCTCTTATCAAGAAACCAACCAACAATAAATACTGGTCGGGTTGTGGAGAAAAAGGAACTCTTCTCCACTGTTTATGGGAGTGTAGACTGATACAACTACTGTGGAAATCAGTGAGGGAATTCCTCAAAGACTAGGACCATTTGACCCAGATATTTCACTTTTGGATACTTCCTGAAAGAATTAAAAGCATCATACCACAGCAATGTATGCTCACCCATATTTAGCAGCACAGCTTGTCATAACCAAATCTTGGAAATAGCCCAGATGCCCATCAGCTGGTGAATGGATAAAGAAGATGTGGGGTTTTTTTTTTAATACAATGGAGTGCTATTCTACTATAAAGAAGGATAACCTTGAGACATTGCTAGGTAAATGGATGCACCCTGACACCATATTCTTTAATGAAATAAATCAGACACACATGCATAATACTGCATCATTTCTCTGATATAAGAAACCAAAAGTATAAATAAGGACCAAAATGTATAATAGGTATTGTGAAATAGAAAGAAAATATTCAAATGGGGAGGAGAACAAGGGAAGGAGGAGGGGGAAAAGAAATAAGAGAAAATTCTAAAAAGTGATAAAAGAAGGAAAAAATTTGTACAAAATTTTGTAAGTGGGGAGAGGTGGAAGGGTTGAAGGGAGGGTACAGGAACGGAAAAAAGAATCAAGTTATATCATGCACAGGTACAAATTCTCTATGATGAATGTGATCATTATGTGTATCTAAAATGTACCAATAAAATATGATTTAAAAAGTTATTTTCACTTTTTTTGTCTTCTGTTTAATTTTTGAATTCTTCTTCCTGCTTTCTCCCATTTTCAAACTCCTATATTTTCAATAATTGACTATTAAATTTCATTAGTTTTTAGTTCTATGTGACTGTTCAATTCTTTTTTATCATTAGTGGAGATATAGTTATTACCTTCAGTAAATATTTGCTGTATGTCAATATTTGGTTTATCTTAGGGTTTATACTATAATGGTAGATTTGGTTTCTAAGGTTAAGCATGATAGCTTATTTTTTCTTATGATATATCAACATCCAGTATGTCTTGAATGATATTATTGTTGTTGATTTAATTGATGTTGCCAGGGTCACATAGTTGTTGCTATTAATAGGTTTCTCTATATGCCATTATCTGAATTACCTTAGTGACACTAATAATACTGCAGTTCATTCCCCAAAAACAGTACTGGGCCAATTACAATGCTTTCCACCCCTTCCAGTGTTAACAGAGACAATCAGATTTTGGGACACTGGCAAAGGACATAGTTAGCCAAGCACTGATTGAACCACTGAAAAGCAAACTAAAGAGATCTCTGTACTGGCAGCAAAGTCTTTCCAGTACAAGTGACCTCATACCTCAGCACAAAACAAACAAAAAGCAACAGAAATATGAGAAGGCAAGGGAAAAAATGTTCCCCAAAATTTCCAGCCCCACCTCAACGCTTATCCATGGGACTTTGAAGGTGCGGAAAGCAAAAGCCACAAACCTGAATTATTTGAAAAGGTAATGGAGGAGATTAAGAAATCAGATCAGACAGGTGCTCGGTGAATGCACAGAAAATATAACTTATCAGGTAAGAGAGGTGAAAAACAAAAATAAAGGTGCTTATAGAAGATACTAATAAAAAGCTAGCTAAGATAAACAAAATGATACATAACATGAATGACCAGTCTAGCAAAGAACTAATAGAGTTCACGAAAAGATTTCAAACAGGAATCCAGGAGATTAAGTTACATGCAAAGTAGGGGCAGCAGAAGTGACCAATGTGGGGACAGAATATCAGATGTAGAAGACAGGGGTGTTTTCAAGACCAATTACTCTTAGATACCTTAAAAAACCAAATATTAATTCAATATCTGCTGGATGATACAAAGAAGACTAGTTTAAGATTAACTGGAATAAATGACAAATCAGAAGACAGAACAAGAAGTTGATAGAAATAATAGCAGAAAACTGTTCAAATATGGGAAAGAATTAAATGTATAGCAAAGTGATGCATATAGGAGCTGTTAGGGATGGAATTTTAAAAGCTGCTAGAGCAAAGAAACAACTCACTTATAATGGTAAACCTAGTAGAAATACAGAAAAATTCTCAACTTTAAAAGACAGGAAACTTGGAGTGAAGTGTTTCAAGCCCTAAAAGATAATAACTTCAAATCTAGACTTACCCAACTATACCTGCAAAACTTTCTTTCAAAATTCATGGATAAATAAAGTATTCCCATCACAAAGAGCACTTCATGAAATTCATGATCACCAAACCAGCACTATAAAATTTCTCAAGGATACCCTAAAAGAGACAATGAAGCCAAAAATGCCAAAAATGTGACGGTATGAATACATCAAACAAGGTGGACAATTGAGCAGACACAGAAATGAAAAAAAGGAAATCAGCAACAGAAAAATGACAGAAGCCAGTCAGCAGTTTTCAGTAATAACTCTCCATGTGAATGGTCTCAATTCCCCAGTCAAAAAACACACACTGGCAGAATGGTCCATAAACAAAACCCCATAATATGTCATATATAAAAAACACATTTAATCCAAAAAGAAATATACAGACTTAAATCAAAGAATGGAAAAACAGTATTTCATGTAAAGAGAACCCAGAAAAGCAACAGAAATATGACAAGGCAACAAAAGAGAAAGTGGATTTCAATTCAAAAGACATGAGAAGAGGCAAAGGTCACGAAAAAGTCAACAAAGAAATGTTACAGTTGAACCAAACATTTCAACAAATGAACTTAATAGAATTCTACAGCGTTCTATCCAACAACAACAGAACACACATTCTTCTCAGAAACACATGAAACTCACCAAAATAGACCAACGGGCTGGACCATAAAGCATTCTTCAGTAAATATGAAAGAATCAAAATTATCCCATGTATATTATCAGGCCACAGTGTAATGAAACTGGAATAGCAGTTAAAACAGGATAGTACTGCATAAACACAGTCACACGGGTCAATAGAATATAGAGGCAAGAATAAATTCACCTAAGTGCAGTCAACTGATTTTTTAAAAAGGTGTTAAGAACATACAAAAGACAAAGAACAATCTCTTCAAAAAATTGTGCTGGGAAAATTGGATAAACATGCAAAAAAATACCTAAAATGCACCAATAAAAATCACCAAAAATGCAAAGAATGAAATCTGATCCTATCTTCCACCTTTCACGAAAAGCAATGCAATGACCATAAGACCAAAACTGTAAAAACCTTGAGAAAAACACAGGAGAAAAGATTGACATTGGTCTTGAAATGATTTCTTGGATTTGACATGGAAAACACAGACAATAAAACAAAAACTATATATAAGCAGGACTGCACTAAACTAAAAAGCTTCTGTACAACAAAGAAGCACCAAGTTGCCAAGTGAGGAGGCTACCTATGAAGTTGGGAAAACTATTTGCACATCTTACATTGATTAAGAGGCTAACATCCAGCCAAACATGGTGGAGCACACCTGTAATCCCACCATTCCAGGATGCTGAGGCAGGAGGATCTCAAGTTTGAGTTCAACCTGAATAACATAGCTAAATCCTATCTCAAAGTAATTTTTAAAAGGGGAATTTGGGATTTAGCTCAGTCTCCAGCACAAAACAAAAGGAAAATAAAACACTGCCCTCCCAGTAAAAGACTGATATCCAAAATATATACCAATCTCCTATAACTCAATAGTAAACAATAAAAACAAAAATCCAGATAACTTCATTAAAAAATGAGCAGAGAACTTGACTAGTCATTTGTCCAAAGAAGACACACAAATAAATGACCACCAAATACATGCGTGCATGCACAATGCCACTAAGCCTCAGGTAAATGGAGATCAAAACCTTAATGAAGTATCATCTCATGCCCACTGGAATGGCTATTATCAAAAAGCAACACAGCTGAGCATTGTGCATGCCTGTAATCTCAGCACTCTGGGAGGCTTAGGTGGGACAGTTTCAAATTCCAGTCCAACTTGGACAATTTAGTGAGAACCTGTTTCAAAACAAAAAAGGGACTGGGGATGTAGCTTAGCGCAAAGGCCCTGGGTTCAATCTCCAGTACTAGAGTGGAGGGCAGGGAGCAAAAGATAACAAGTGTTGACAAGGATGTAGAGAACTGGAACTCTTATTCACTGCCAGCGGGCCTGTAAGTTACTGTAGCCACTATGGAACACAGGGTGGTAGTGGTTCCACAAAAAATTAAAAGTAGAATTGCTATAGGATCCAGCAATCCCACCCTAGGTGTGCACCCAAAACAATGTGAAATTGGGATCTATAGGAGATATTGCACTCCATGTTCACTGCAGAATTATTCACAAGAGCCAGGATGTGTAAACAACCTAACTGTCCATGAACAGATGGAAGAAGACAATGTGAGACCCATACATAGTAGAACATTACTCAACCTTAAAAAGAAAGTCTTCCAATTTGTGACAACCAGGATAAACACTGGGCATTATGCTAAGTGAAATGAATCCATCACAAAAGCACAAGTGTTGTAAGATTCTGCTTATATGAGATACCAAGTAGTCAAACTCAGAAGCAGAGAATGGTAACTGTCAGGGCTGGGGTCAGGAGAGAAATCAATGGGAAATTGTTGCCCAGTGAGTGTAAGGATTTAGTTCTACAAAATGAGTAAGTTCTAAAGAAGTACTTCACTACCCTATGTTACCAGGATGGGTCTGGTGTTCACTGTTCATGCATCTGCACACGCGCACACACGCGCACACACACACACATGGGTTCCTGGAGACTCGAGCTTCCCCTGAAGGTCACCCACAGGTGGGATATGCACCCAGAATGGTGTTCATGGAACCCATCAGCTGTTCCACATCAGAGAAGTCCAAGGTCTGGTCTTCAAACTCAGGCTGTGCAGCGATTTCCACATCTGTTTTTGTTTTCAGAAATTTTCCGAGCCTGTGTGTATACAGAGACATGGTAAGAATGGAGGGGTGCACTTTCCAGGATGTATCTGGGTGCAGCATCGCTGGTAGTGCCTGAAGAACCCTCTTTGTCGACTTTCCTGTCCTAATACGCTGCTGGCTGCTTTCACCAACCTAGGAGGTCAACAGCAGGAGTGGGTGACATTTGTTTGTGCTTTGAGGAGAAGGGAAGGGCTGTGTCAGTGGGTGGCCAGGAGGATGTCCACTCCCTGCTCATGGAGGATCCCTTGGCAGCTACCCTAGACTCTCTCACCTGCAGCACCCAGGCCCTGAGATGTACCAAGGGCTCAGAAAGGGGCTTTCAGTGCCCTTAAGGTGCTGATCTCAGGTCTACGGGCCTTCTTTTGGCAGTCACAGTGGAAAAGCCAGGATCTGAAACCAGGTCAACTTTTGCCAAAACCCTTAGAGTATTAAGTTTCACTGTTCATATTGCTTTATAGACGTTGCCTTATTGACTTCTCACAAAACTGACTGTGTAAACAGGAAATGTGGATCCTTAGACAAGTTGGACATGCCTAGGTTACAGGGTAGCAGGGTGAGAACTCCTGTCTGACTAAATTGTGCCTGCTTTCTGCTGACTCATGGCTCTACAACATCTGGGGGGCCCTGGAGTGCTTTCCAGATCCCCACTTCTCCTGGTGCAAGAGAGGCTTGTGGAGACCTGGCCACACTTTCCTGGCTGGGCTTCTCTTTGACCCTGAGATGCTGAGGTTCAATTCTAGAGGTCCCTCAAGACTTCACACCACCATTCTGAAGCCAGTGCTCTTTTACATAGAGGATGAGACACAGCGACCGAAACCAGAAGTACAGAACCCCGCAGAGCTGAGTCCAGAGGTCAAAGGAACAGAGAAGGTCATGTGTGTGCGAGCGGAAGCTTTACCTGTCAGTCATGGCCAATGCATCCTGTGAAGGAAGAAAGAAGGAGAAAATGTTGCCTCTGGAAATAAATCTTGTATGTAAACATACAATGCACAGTGGGACATGGGGAAAATCAGCTGTATTCACATCCTCACAGCACCATCCCGTGTCTGTGCATTTCCTTCCGCATGAGGGTCTTTCCCATTTACGGGGTAAACACCTACCACATCGAAGACGGTCTCTGGACCACTGATTTGAAAGACTGACAGCAGTTTGTGGAATTGAAACCCCGCAGTTCACTTCACTGTTCCTCTATGTTGGACATTCTGGTTGTTTCAGATTTTAACCATCATAAACAATAGTGAGAAGGATACCTTCAAGGTGTCACCACAGCCCCCCATGCTGGTTGTGTCTGAGTCATGGTGCCACTGTGGGAACCCTGGCGCAAGAGGCAAAAGTGTGGATGGCTCTCATGGTGCCCGCCAACTGCTCTCTGCTTTAGTCATGCCTAACCATGGCAGGCAGGAGGCGTGGTGGGGCTTTGAGGAGCCACTGTTGGCTCAGACAATGCAGAGGTCACACATGGCAGCCAGGAAGCCGCTGAAGCTGAAGGCTCCTCCCCCACGTCCTGACACCACATCTGCCCCACAGTCCTGTGCAGCTGTGTGGAGGAAGCGGGTCCCAGTCTGACTGTGGTTGAGATTCCCACAGCCCAGCTACACAGGACTTGGGTCAGATTTAATTTAACTTGAAGGAATTAAGAAATGGATTTTTGGGTCTGGGGTTTAGCTCAGTGGCACCTGCTCAAGTGTGAGTTTGTAAGTTTGATCCCCAGTACCAAAAACAAAGGATTTTGGAATGCATGGGATGTATAAGTTTATACAGTAAGAATTTAGAATTGCTGTCTGGTGACTGGGAAATTTTAGTGCTTTTGTTTGTTTAGTGTTTTGTTTTGTTTTGTTTTGTTTGTTAGTGTTTAGTGTTTTAGTCTCCTCAGAGGTCTAAGAGGCCACCTTAGGTGGCCAGAAAACTCTCAGGGCACTGACTGTGCTCAGCTCTACGATGGGGTGACAGAGATGCTGCCTTAGTAGGGTCGGTAGAAAGGGTCAGTTGTGTAGCACCTGGGCCACCCCTGATAGAGCTGTGTAGCATGACAAGGACACAACCTCCCTATTGTGAATGTCTCAAGTTGATGCTGACCATAAGCTAAGTTTGAACACCACAGGGTGAGAGAGGACAACCTGACCTTCCCTAGCCATCCCTGTCAGTTTGGTTTATGATGTGTTCTTTACGTTTCATTACTGACCTTTAGGAAGTCAACCTTCTCCTCATGACACATCTCCTCTATGGTTTCCATCAGTTCTTTGCAGGTATCAAGGTTTTCCCCACAACTAACCAGCTGTCCATACAAGGCCTCCAGCTTCTCTTTCTTCTTTTCTCCTAGAGCTTGGATCTTTTCTTCGTACTTTTGGGCAAGTGTTTCCAAGATTCCATTGTAATGTGACTCAAAGTTTTGTTCTTGTCTTCCAAAATTTTCCTGCAAGATAGGTGACCTCAAGTCATCATTTCAGTGCATGTGATGTGTGACTAGAATCACCAGGGGCAGGAAGGTGTGTTTCCCCACAGGTGTTTTAGACCTTCTACATCACCTTATCTCTCCCAGGATGCCAGCATCAATGTTGGGGGAGCCCGGACCGAGGACTCTGTTCCAGACCCTCAGAAATGATATTAGCAAAAAGCACAGCTTTATTTCTTGGCAGCATTTTTCAGTCCTCTCTCAGTGTTAGCCACCTCCCATCACCATGACAACCAGCCAAGGAGCTCATTAACAATGACTCAGATCATCACAGAAACACTGAGTTGCAACAACTAAGGTCATACCACCGAGGGGAAGATGAGGGTAGTGCGTGTTGGAGCCAGGTGACACTGCCTAACAGACACGAAGATGCAAGGAGCAAACAGGTGGGTGCACTGTTTGGTGCTGCAGTATTTAGTTCAGGATAATGACATGAGGAATATTAAGTAGGGCATGGAGAGTCCTGCTCTTCATTATTTTATACTGAAGTTCAGGGACTGGGTAGGCTGTGCCTGAGTCATTTCATTAGGTAATGAGGAGAGCTCCTAAGAAGAGTCATAACTGAGCACCTACCATGTACATAAGAACTGCTTAGAATGGTGAGAAAGGAAAGCCTTAGATGACTCTCCAATAAACAGCATCACAGGAGGGCTTCAGAGTCCTTACTGAGGATGAAGGTACCTTGACCTAAGAGAAAGCTGGGCCAGGCAGGGTGGAACACCCCTGAAATCCCAGCACTCTGGGAGGCTGAGGCAGGAGGATCACAGGTTGGAGCCCAGCCTGAGCAACTTTATGACTTTGCAAGAATCTATCTCAAAATAGAAAATTTTAAAAAGGATGGAGGTGTAATTTAGTGCAAAGACCTTCCATCATACTACAGAGAAAAGCAAGCAAGTAAGCAGGCTTTGTTGGCTTTGCATTGCTGAAACAAATTATTTGAGAAGTGTTTACCTCAGAAAAGGTTTATTGTAGCTCATGATTTGTCTCAGTTACTTTTCATTGCTGAGACAAAATATCTGATACCAAAAGTTAAAGGAGGAAAGGTTTATTTGGCTCACAGTTTGTAGAGGTTTCAGTCCATAGCTGGCTGGTTCCAAGGCAGGATAATACAGAGAGATACCACAGAGGAGAAGCAGTCCATGACAGGCAGCAGACAGCAGGCAGAAGGCAGCAAGTGACAGAAATGACCCTCTTTCTGTCCCTTATGTCTTATCCAGGCTACCCAGCTAGGGCAGGTAGCACTCACACTCAGGGTGGGGCAGCCTTAATCCTAGCATGGCACTGTGCTTCAGTCCTTTGTCTCTTGGCCTGGCTCCTTTTAGGTCTGGTGGACCCAAATCATGGTGGAAGCAGACAGAGGGGAAAACTGATAACCTCACAGCAGCCAGGACACAGAGAGGAGAAAGGGCTCGAGGTTTTGAAGGGCAAGTCTAGTGACTGACTTCATCCAGTGAAGCTCCAGGTCAAGGTTCTGCCATTGCCCAAGAGTGCCACCAGCAGGAGGCCACACCTTCAACACATGTGCTTTGGAGAAATATTTAAGACCCAAACCAAGCTGGGTATGGTGGTGCATGCTTATGATCCTAGTCATTCAAGAGGCTGAGGCAGGAGGATCATGAGTTCAAGGTCTGCTTGGAAAATCAAAATTAAATAAAAAGGGCTGGAAATGTAGCTTGATAGTAGAGCACTTGTCAGAATGTATGAGGTCCTAGATTTGCTCAGTAACACAAGAGCAAAAAAGGAAAATCCAAACTGTAACACTGACACACCGGAGTGTGAAAGGTTGTGTGCGTGCTGCTGTGTTCTTAACCCTCTCTCTACCACCCCAGCGCTGGAAAAGGAAGCTTCACCCCTTCTCTGCCTTCCACAGAGGCCAGTGCAATACTCTCTTCCCTTTAAGGTTGAGGGTTAAGAAATTCTAGCATCCCAGGAAAAGGCCTAGGGCCTTGTTAATTCATGTGGGGTGCTCCTGAGGCTACCTTAACAGAAGCAGCACACCCGTAAGTTAGGAGGGGGAAGTCCAGTGTCCTGGTCACACCTCTGGAAGCCTCAGAGTGATGTGGTGCATACTCACCAGGCCACACCCGGGGAAGTTTACTCTTAGGAGGAATAGGGAACAGCTGAGTGAAAAAATACTTGGCAAAGCCAGGATGGGCATCTCACAGAGCTTCCTGGAGGCCTGGAGTGGAGTGCTGGCTTAGCTCTGTGCAGCTCCCTCAGCAAAGTGACAGAGTGGTGGATTCTAGCTCAGCAGTCCTGGCCCACACTCATCCCCAGGACAGGATGAGGAGAGGGAAGGGCCTTAAGGGAGAGGAACCCTTTCCAGACTTGAAATTCTAAAGTCTTACTGATCTCTCAGTCAATCTGTCAAGCAATTAGATGAAGACACTGACTTGTGGCCCACGCACGGCTTATGTATGTCTGAGTTTAGCAATAACTGGCAGAATGAGCATGTTATCACAGAAAACAACTAAAGCTGCTATTTGTTATGGTTTAGATCTAAAACGTCCTCCCCCAAGTCCTGATGTATGGAAGGTGATTGGATCATGGGTGGGGTACTCAGCAGTGGAGTCACTCATGGATGAGTTCATGGCTGGCTGTGCTAATAGGGGGCAAGATCTGGCTGGAGGTGGTCACTGGGGACATGACCCCAAAGGGTATCTTCTCATCCCTGGATCCTTTCTGCTTCCTGGCTGTCACAAGGTGAGCACCTTTCCTCTGCCAGGTCCTTCCACCATGCTCTTCCCACCTTGGAGCTGGCCTACCATGGGCTGAATCCTCAAGGACCATGAGCTAAAAATAAACCTTTCCTCCTATTACTTAATTGTGGGTGCTAGGTTCTTTGTCCCCATGACCACAGTGATTAAGCCCATATCTGAATTTATGTCATTAACATGATGGATACTCCAAAGGCCCTCAGCTAGCCACAAAGTACAAGAAAACAACATGGAACCCACTGTGTCTAGCTACCTAACTGTGCCCCAGGTAGCACCCAAGGGATTCTCAGTGTGTGCAACAAGAAAATGAACCAAACTACATAAACAAATCAAAATCCAAGGGGCCATCTATTCATTCTTTTTACCAACTGAGCTCAAATGTTCACTCTTCTCCATCTGGTTGATGCCACTGTGAAGGGATCCTTGCTAGAATAAAGATTTGAGCCACATACAAATGGTGATTTGGCTACCGAGGATGTGGAGGAAAAGGATTCTGCTTGCAAAATTTCTGTCTTATTTATTCATGTACCAATTGTATAAAATACTTGCTCTGATACATCCTTCATCGTGGGGCTGGGGTGCACAGGGAGAAGAGCAGCCTCCTCACCAGAGCCCATGGAAGCACAGGACATGCCTGGGTGTTGTGGGGGTCCGAGAAAGGTAAGGAGACAGCAGCAGCAACAGCTCAGGTGAGAAGGAAACAGGTTCTCTAAGACACACTAGAACTGGTCACTCCCCTGGCACTGTGGGAAGCTGTAAATGTCTACAAGGTCACCAAGCAAGCTCTTACCTCTACAGTGATGAAAACCTCCTCCAAGTGACTTGCAAAGTTTTCCATTTCTATTATCTGCTGCTCCAACTTGTACATGTTTTTGTGAATTTCTTCCTGTCCAATAGAGCATCACAGAGAAGGCGTCAGTGCCTCCTCTGCTCTGTCTCCTCTGGAGACAGCACTGAGAATGCTTCCCTGATGTCCCCTGGAGACAACCATGTGACCCCTGGACAAAGACCCCAGGAAGCCTGTTACCTTGGCACTCTCCAGGGCTTTACTGAGTGGGGTCACTTCATGCTCTTTGTGTTCACCGAAATCCTTCTCAACAGCTCTGATGGGAGTTCTGCAAGTGACACAGAAGAGATCGGCGGCTTCTTCCTCGTCCTCCTCCTCTGGGATGACGTAGCACTCGTACTCCTCACTGGCACGGCCGTGTGTGTACCTGTAGGATTCCCACAAGGCCTGGCTCTGGCCTGCCATGCTCCACTGTGAAAAGTCCTGGTCCTGGTCCTCTGTCTCAACTTCTCCTTCAAGTCTCCAGTCTCTCTGCTCCCAGCCTGGCTCTCTCCTCTTTATTCCATAAGGAGGATATGCTGGCACCCCCATCCTACCTTCATCAACAAATGAATTCCCCACCTCGTGGTGGTCATCCTCTAGTCCATATAAATGCACAAGTTCAGCCACCTCCTGGAGGTCGCTTTGAGCTTGGCCTTCCCCTGCCTCCTTTGGGTCGTAGGTCATTTCAGCTTGAATGGTTTGTCTCCTCAGTCTAGTGTTTTCCTCTGGGAAGAGCGGCAGTCTGTCCTCAGAGTCGTACAGATCCATGTTATAAAAGTGGAAGTCCTTGGGAGCTGTGGGCCTGTCCAGCCTGGGCTCCTCTCCTGCCTCCTCCTCCATGGCAATTTCAGCAGCCCTGGGAGCACCAGTGTATGAAAAAGACCCTTCCTGGATCCTTAATAGTGACTATCTGGGGTTCTAGAATAGAAAACGAGGGAAAACATCAGCTCCTGGAAGGTCATTGCAGTAGATGGTCATGAGATCAGACTCTACTCATTCATAAATTTAAAAAAATTTTTAAAATATCCCAATTGTAGCCCTGTGTTAAAGCACCTGTAAAGAAAGGTTTGCTTTCTCTGGGCTTCCTAAGTTTAAAAAGAAACAATTTAGGAGAGAAATGTCAATGGATTTAACTAACGAACTGCTCCTACACATTAAAACAACAGCAAGAACAACAAAGAAAATTCAAAACTTAAAAGGCCAAATAAAAGGACAATTAATTTTTTTTACATGTATGATTTTATTGAAAAGTTATGACCTCCATAGATGAATATACAAGGACAATTCACAAGACAACTACTTTTTCATGGTATTAGTTGTGCAAAAGTATTTGGAGAACTATTTATGCCTATGAATAACAGAGCAGATAAATGAGATGCCATTTTGCCTTTCCAGTTGGCAAATATTTTAGAAAATAAAAATGATATCCAAGGTGGGGGCGAAAGCTCAGCAGTATAGTGTGTGCTTAGCACGTGCAAAGACCCGAGTTCAGTCCTCAGCATCAAAAAGACAAATAAAATGAAATAAAATGACACCCAAAGCTGGCTTAACGTGAGTGCTGATACACTACTGTTTGGGATGTAAACTGGCACCACCCTTCTGGAAAGAAAATTTGGCAGTACTAACTAGGAGCCTTAAAAAGATCCCTGTTCCTTAAATCAGTAATTCTCTTTCGCAAGCTTAAAGGAAAAATCCCAAATATAGGGAAACATTATTTCTCTATAAAGTTTTTACCACAACATCTTTTATATTTGCAAAACAATTTTTTTTGAAAAAGCTTCATGATTAGAATAGCTAAGTCAACCAGGATAAGTATACTCTACAGAATATTAGGCAGCCTTCAACATATCTATAGAAAGCAAACGAGAACTTGGGAAAAGACTATATAGGATGCTGCAAATAAAGAGAAATTTTATAATATATGATGCCCACTATTTATTTATTTGAGACAGGCCTCACTATGTAGTCCAGGCTGGCCTCATGGTGATCCTCTTGGCTCAGCCTCCAGAGATTAGAGGCATGTACCAGCACTCCCAGCCCTGATGCCCACTATTTTAATGTAATGTCTAGCAGTAGTAGTAAATACAATGATAGTCATAGTACCTACTATGAATTGAATGCTCTTTCTATGCATATATATATATGATTAACCTCAGATACATCAAATACATGGTAGGTAATGCTATTATACCCATTTTGTAGATGAGCAAATTAGCTCACAGTTTCTTGTGCAAGGTCACACCGTTATTAAGTCAGTGAACTAGGATTTGAGGCTTAGTCTATATGGCAGCCAGCTTATTGAAAGTCAGTGATATCCAACTACAGGAAACACGATGGACCAGATGTTTCAGTTGCCTTCTAGAATCCATTACTACACTGCATGGAGGACAGGTTTCTCACTGATGTCTGCCATCCAGTGACAAATTCTATACTTCCCTGGTTTTTATTATACTCACATATATGTGCAGTGACCATCACAGTCAATTTTAGAACATTTTTATTACCTCAAAAAGAACCCCTCTAAGCTATCACTGCCCCCGATTCCCTCAGCCGCAAGTAACCATGGGTCTCCTTCCTGTCTCTATCGATTTTGTGTATTTCATATAAATAGGATCACATCATATATGATCTTTTGTGACTGGCATCTTTCATTTAACATGTTTTCAAGGCTTATGAATTTAGCACATTCATTCTTTAGTACTTCATTCTCTTTTGGGGGCTAGAACATTTTTATGGATATACAACACCATATTTTGGTTATTTGTTGCTTTTCCATTTCATTTTGGCTATTTCCATGTTTTGTCCATTATAATGATGCTGAAGCTTATGTGGAAGTATTTTGTGGACTTATGTTTTCATTTCTCTTGGAGGCAGACAAACAGATAGATATGGATATATAAAAATTTTTTCCTTAAGAGTGGGATTATTGGGTCAAGTGGTGATTTTATGTTTAACTTTCTGAAGAATTGCCAAGCAATTTTCCAATTTTCCAGCTGCTGCTCCTTGAAAGGCTCTGACTTATATTTGTCAGCACTCGCTATTATTTGACTTTTTGATCACGTCACCCTGATAGGTATTAAGTGGTATCATTGTGGTTTTGATTTGTATTTCCTGGTGAAGGATGATGTCACATACCATTTATGTATTTACTGATCATTTTTATATCTTTTTTGAGAAACATGGATATAACATTTTGTCTGTTTAAAAAATTGTTATTGCCTATGTACAGTTGAGGTATAAGAGTTCTTCATGGATTCTGAATACAATGCTTCCAGATACAGAGCTTATAAATATTTCCACTACATTCTGGATGCTGTCTTTTCATTTTCTTCATGCTGTCCCTTGAAGCACAAGATTTTAATATTGCTGAGATCCAGTTTATTTAGTTTTTTCTTTTTGTGCTTGTACTTTTAGTATCATATTTAAGAATCAATTGTTAAATGTGTAGTTAACCCTTTCTTGCATTCCTAGATAAATCTCACCTGGTCATGATGTAAACATTTTTGTAGGCTTTTCTTTTCCTTGTGATCTTTCTGTGGTGTTGGTATTGGGGTAACATGATTCATAGACTGAGTTGGGAAATGTTTCTCCACTCACATTTCTTACAAGAGTTTGTAAAGATTGTTATTAATTATTCTTTAAATATTTGGTAGAATTTACCATTGAAGCTACATAACCCTTTATAGTAGATAGTTTTTCCTCACTTCATCTCTTTTGTTATTAGAGGCCTGTTCAGATTATCTTTTCATGAGTCAGTTTTGGTAATTTGTGTTTTTCTAAGCAATGTCCATTAAGTTATCTAATTTATCAGAAAACAATTGTTTATAATGTATCTTAGTCTTTTTTATTTCTGTAAATGTGATTCTTTTTTTTTTTTTTTTTGTACCAGGATGGAACCCAGGACCTTGTGCTTGCCAGGCAGGCACTTATACTACTGAGCTAAGTCCTTGGCCCTGATTCTACTAATTTGGTTCTTCTCTATTTCTTGACCAATTTTGATAAAGGTTTGTCAATTTTGTTAATCACTATGAAGAATCAGTTTTTTTATTTCTCTGATTTTCCCTATGGTTTATATATTTTTTATTTCAGTGATTTCCATTGTAATCTTAGTTTTTCCTTCCTTCTGCTTGCTTTGTTTAGTTTTTCAGTGTCTTCAGGTATTGATTTGAGATCTTTCCTTTTTGAATATAGACACTTATACTATAAGGTTTCTAATCAGTATCTGGAAACACTTCTTGATCTTCTAATTGTTTTAGAGTATATAATATGAAGTGTATCATTATTTACAGGACTGAAGTCTCCAATTATTAGTGCCATATTGTCTCTTTTATCATCTGTGTCAGTTTTGCTCAATGTATTTTGGTGCTTTGTTATTAGGTGCATATACATATAAATCCATATTTCTAATGGATCTTCCATAGTTATAAAATACTTCTCATTATCTCTCATAACATTTCATTTTAAAGTCTATTCTTTTCTGATATCAGTATAGCCACCCTGACTTTCTTATGGTTGCCATTTACATATCTGTTTCTATCCGTTTAGTTTCAATCTATGTTTCTCCTGCATACAGCATATAGTTGGTGTCTCCCATTATTTTATTATGTATTCATTATGACAGGGTTTGTAAGAATCGCCAAGAGACAAAGTCCTTGTATTCTTTTCTGTGTGGCAAAATGACATTTCCTATGAAATAATATATCAAGACCCCAGTCGTTAGAATTAATTGATTTCCCAACCCTCAGTTTTCTCAGAGGATAGTAAACCAAAGGTTGGAATCCTGGCATACAATGTTTAGTGAGAACTAAAGATGTAACAGTGAAGAAAGAGAGTTTACCACAGAGAAGTAGTAAGCTACAATGTAAAGGACAGTAACCAGGGTTAGAGAACCCTAAAGAGTGTCTCGAGGCTGCGGGAAATTTCCTCACAAAGGATGCACTTGAGGATCTTTTGGTGCAACTTAGGGGAAAGGAGCTCAGTAAGCATCAAAGAGCTCATGACTACAACCCCAGGGCAGGGCAGACAAACAGATTTGTTCTGGCCAGAGGTGGCTCACAGTTGCTGGACAAGCAAAAAAACAAGGGAGAACAAGGAGAACCAAGGCTGGCTGGCAGGTGAGCAGAGGGAAATGGAAACGCTGCTATAGGTTAGATGCCTTGGGAGGGCCACGGACGGTGCTCCCCACACCCTGAATCACTGTCACCCTGAGGACCTGTTCTGAATTCTTGACCTCCATAAACCATACAAGATGGATAAATATTGTTAAGCAGGTTTTAGGAAAATGCATATGTAACAATGATAACATATATTGTTCCAGCCTAAAAGTAAACTTCTGTCCATCTGGCTTTCCCCTTTGCTACCATTTTCTTTCTCTTTCTCCTTTGTTCACCTTTGGACTCCTTCAAAGGGTAGGATTTAGACTGTGTTGTATGTATATGAGATTTTCCAAGAGGCTCATGGGTGTGGACTGCTTCAAGAGCTATCAGTTTCCCGATGCTTAACCTCACATTTAATCTTTCTGCTATGCTTAGAAATGAGCCAACATTAGAAGCTCCATGCAGATTTTCTTTCCACAATTATTTTTCTTCTTTTATAGAAGTACAACCACTCTCCCCACACATCCTGCACTGTAAGAATTCGTTGCCTTGGTATTTAAGAGACCTTCAGGCTAGCTAAAGGGAAGGGTAATTTGAAGTGTTGATAACCAACACTGACAAAGTGAGTGACACTAATGCAAGAGGAAGAAAAAAAGAGTTTTCAAGTTAAGTGGTTTCCAGTTCTTTGCTTCCAAGTCAAATTAAATCGCATCTAGTCAAGTTGTCAGCTGATACAGTATTAAAATAATTCTTCGTGATAGATCACCATGTAATTTTGACATGCATTTCAGAAAGAGCTCAGAGAATTGAGTGACATTGTGC